AAATATTTTTAAATCTTAGGTATAAAAAGAGTTCTGTGAATGGATGGTGGTAATGGTAGCAAAACAGTGTAAATATACTGAATGCCACTGAACTATACACTTAAAAATTATTAAGATGGTAAATTTTATGTTATGTGAATTTTACCACAATTAAAAAAAAAAAAATCTTATGTGTAGTTTACCAGGTGTTGTGATCCATACCAAAACCTGAGTATTTGATTTTGTTAAATTATATAAGCATCAAATACTGGAAAAAATACCTGTCATGGAAAAAAATTAACTTCCTAAAAATTGTGATTTATATAATCAATATTTTGAATTTTACAGAGGAGTCAAAACTAGTCCTAGGGCAGGTTGTCTAAACCAAACTAGACTAGCTAAGAAGCAGAATAGGGTGCTTTATGAGGTACTTAACCACCCATCAGCATCACGGTAGACAAAACTCCTGCATTTGCTGGGAGGTTATATTAAAAGTAGACTCCTGAGTTCTCTGAATTCTGTATTTCTTTTTCTTATTTCCTGCCTCCTGCCCACATTCGCTTTTGTTGAACTCTCACCTTTAAATCCTTTTAAGATCCAATGTAAATGACTTCACCCCAGCCAGACATGATCCCTGCCCTTTGTAAAATTGTAGCCATTTTCTTCATTTATTCATCAATTTATTTGTTTCATTTATTACACGAATAGTTATTGAGCCCCTCCAGTCTAGGTCATAGGCTACAGAGAGCAATAAGGTATCACAGTTTAATAAAGAAGATAGACAAGTGACATAATTTCAGCGATGTGAGAAATACTATAATAAAGGAGGAATAAAGTACTGTAAAACCAGTCTGATGGCACATACTCCTTTTTACTAGGTTTACCTTGTGTGTGTTTTCTTTAGAGATTGCAAACCTTTTGAGAACAAACCAGTTTTGTTTTTGTTTTTTTTGGCAAGGCCTGAAACAAGCCTTGCAATCTATGCTCTCATGTATCTTTTCAGTAAGTAAACAGGCTGTAAATGCAACTGAATGCAGTTGAGAACTATTTAATTTTTCAATCTGCCCTTTGAAATGGATATTGGATATAATGTATCTTTTCTCTGTTGTCAGTTTTTTTGAGGTGCATATTTCTCTCCTCTAGCCTACAAATGTACTAAAAACTATTCAGAGATTTCCTAATGTGAAACATCCTGAAAAACAGAAATAAACTCTCATGATCTGAAAAAAATCATTTTTCATTCTATAGGAGTGCACTACCCCCAGCTGAAAAGCAAAATGATTTGTTTTTTTTCAGCTCGAGAGAGCTTATTTCTGTTTTTCGGAATGAGATAGAGTGACCTTTATTAAAAGGAAATATTTCCTATTTCAGCTTTTGCCTTTTCTTTATTCTAGCAAGAATCAGATGAAATCGCATCATTTAAATAAAAAAAAGAATATCAGCTCCTTTCATTATTATGCGCTCTTGCTCGTTCCATCACTCTGCTTGCCCTGCTCACCCCGTCTATACTCAGACTTCAGGGTTTAATTTCTTGTTTTGTCCTGTTCATCCTTTTGATAAAAAACATCAAAGCAGCACAAATGGCTTTTCACTTACACAAGCTGAGTAACAGGGTTTCCGGAGACTGTGGTATGCTTGTTAGAGTTCAGCTTTTCATTCATTAGGCAAATATCACTGTCTTTTTTAAATTATGAGAAAGTGTGTGCTAATGGTTACAAAGTCAGTCAAAAAGATAGAATGGGAAGAGATTCCGTAATTCAGGGATTATCAGTGTTACAAGTTTAAACACAGGGCTCAAAAGATGACCCCTTTGGTGACCATCCCTGGAATTCATGGACAAGCCGAGTGGTATTTATACTTTGAATGTTAAAAATATCATGCAAATAACTTCCCATTTCCTGATTTATTTGTTTAATAGAGTAAATATAGAGGACCATGCATAGCATGGAAGAGCAAAAAATGTTAGAGGTCTTATGTCCTCTGTATGGGACTTTTCTACGAATTACTTCTGAGGCCCAAGTTATTTAAATAAATGTAGACGTTCTCACAGCTAATGTATATAATACATTTAGAATTATAATCCCCTGACTTTCATTTCCACTCTTTCCTAAATATCACAATGCCTCCCAATTCGATCTCTACATTAGCTTAAGCAACGTCCTTCAAAAGCCATCTTTCGGGTACTAAAAACCGAGAACCCTGAATCTGAGTAACAGGCAGCACCCGGAGAAAGCAGTGGAGGTCGGAGAGACGGGGCGGGGCTGAGTTTGGATGGACACCTGACGGTCCTTTTTGGCCATCGTAAATATATGAAGTCCTTCCTTTGGTGAATCCCTCACCTCATTACAAAGAGCCCATTTCTACTACAGAAGCTGAAAATACCAGGTAATCATTTTCTAGCCTTTCTTGCCAAAGGACACTGATAATATGACCCACCCTAGACTTTGAATGGTTAGTCCCCTGGAACAGCCAGGGCTCGGCTGACCCCATCCTGGTGAGGGTGGGCAGTGTGGCAGCTTGGTGAGGTTGGCAGTGTTAGCTGCAGGGGCTGTGATAGTGGGGTCTTTATGCTTCTAGTTCAGTGGTACGAGTTTGGTTTTTCCACCCTCCTAGAGATTTTATGAACTATCCACTATCCTTCAGCAAATTCACTTGCTTCTTAAATGAGCCAAATTTAGTTTGTTGCTTGCACCTTTAAGAACCTGCCTGGATGAGGAAATTAATACTCTGAAGCAGCTGTCACAAAGAGACCGTTAGGAAAAATAAGGAAAGAAGGAAATCTGAGACTCATATAGAGCCTGGATCGCTTTCCAGGCAGCAAAATACCAGTTAGTTTTAAGGGATAAGATGCTGTTGGACATCAATGTTGTGAAAGCATTTTAAAAAGGCATTCTATGGCAAGAAGAGTATGTGTTGACTTGGGGCAGCCCAAAGGGTACACTCAATGAACATTTTTATTTTTCTTCACTTTTCCTGTATTTGTGGAATCTCTTACCTTGCGAGGCAGAGCTCATCTTCCACTCTGCCTGGCCCTTCCCTTTGGACACATCTTCAGTGCCAGCAAAGAAATGCAGCGCCCTCTGCCCTGGCCTGCAAGACCCTCTCCGGGGAGGAGACACTGGATGTTGGTAGCTTCCACAGCAATCGCGGGCCACGCTGAAGCCTTTCTGAGTCCTGGGGAGGCCGCGGGAAGCCTTCCTGCCCAGGCATCCGTGGCCTTCACTTAGGAACTCACTGCAGGCAGCTCTACAGGGAGCCAGAGCGAAAACGGGGGGAAATGCCAGCCTGCCTGCCCGCCCTGTGTTTACGGAGGGAGGCACGGACGTCAACAGATCCCAAACGCTCCCGGGAGGGGCCCAGACGTGCCTGGACTTACTGCGATTTCAGGTAGAGTCAGAGTTCAAATAGTTTTGTGACTTTTGGGTTTCTGGCTTCAGCCTGAGGCTGTCTTAAGGTGTACACAGGACAACAAGAAACACCGAAGAGGGGAAGGGCGTGGGGGAGGGAAAGCTTCCAGGAGAAGGTGGTATTTAAACTAAAGGTAGCCAGGTGAAAGGGGGCAAGTTCCATAAAACCAGAGGAGCATGGGGGAGGAGGCAGGAGAGGATTGGAGAGAAATAAGATTAGGAGGTTGTTAAGTGTATTATACATAACCTGACACTCGTATACTATGTATTTATTCCCTAGGATTCGTTTTAAGATTGAGCCAAAGAGATGATGCTGTATTTGATAGTCTTTAGGTTAGGTGGGCTGCTAAGCGTTGGGAGACAATTCTCCATAAGTCTCACTTTTCTGTTTCTCTGGAGCAGAGACACTGACAGCTTTTGTTCTAGATTATCTTTTTTTATTTTTTTATTTTCGAGAACGAGAGAGAGGAACATCAATTTGTTGTTCTACTTATTTATGCATTCATTGGTTGATTCTTGTATGTGTCCTGACCAGGGATGGAACCCACAACCTTGGCATATCAGGACGATGCACTAACCTACTGAGCTACCCAGCCAGGGCCCAGGTTATCTCTTCAAGGATGTTTGTATAGCCAAAGGCCTCGAAGGGCAGAGATAATGTCTCCCACCGGAGCAGAGGGCAGGTTTATTTATTGTACGATGTAATAAAGAGAATGTCTTCCTCCAGTCAAAGGTTGGGTTTCTTAAGCTCAAAGGTCTTCAGCTATGAAGCAAAACCTCTGTGCATATGGCATCTGTCTGGCCAGCCTCACATTGTTTGGGGGGAGGGCAGAGGGAACCAATCAGAACATGAGGCTTGTGCTACTTGCTGTGCTCAGAGTAATAAAGTCTTTTGCCTCTGAGCCAAGAATCATGTCTTCTGTCATCAATGCCCATGAAACTCTGGCAGCTCTTGACACTAAGTATTCTGCTTTTTTTTTTTTTTTTTTTTTTTTTGAGAAGTGAAAAAATTAGCTTTGGGTCTGATATATATATATATATATATATATATCTTATCTATATCTCCCCTCAGGGTCGATGAATCTTGTCCCCACTGTGCCCTGGTGCAGTCTCGGCTGAGATAGGGTGTTAGACCAGTTGAATGATCCATATCCCTTCCTATNATATATCTATATATATATATCTTACCTATATCTCCCCTCAGGGTCGATGAATCTTATCCCCACTGTGCCCTGGTGCAGTCCCGGCTGAGATAGGGTGTTAGACCAGTTGAATGATCCATATCCCTTCCTATCATAATATACTTTGGTTTGTGAATCTGGGCTTTCTATACAGGGAAAGGGCAACCAAATAAAAGGTGAGCATTTCACTGATATAAAGACAAATGCAAAGCAGCAGCTGGGCTCCAGGCCAAGTAGTACTCAGCCTGCCATATGGGATAACTGCGAAAAGGAACACAAGCCAAGTTAAAATCTGAAAATTAGTCTGCTATCCAAGAAGGAATGACACAGGGGTGATAGTAACCAAATAGGATTTGGCCACGAGATAATTCTAGCAATGCCCACTTTGGGGATGGGCAATAAAATATAACAAAAAGCTCCATTTATAGACACCTTTTATAGACACCTTATTATTCTTTCAGATAGGTACTTATTCAAATTATCAAAACCATGGCTCTATCAGAGTTCATGCAATTAAGTGTGTAGAAGCAAGTTGTTAACTGAGAACTTTAGCTGTCTACTTGATTAGTGGGATTGGTCAACACACTCCACTGGGTTTATAGGAACAAACATAAATTATTTAAACATTTTAGATTACTAAAGAGAAGATCACTGTGAAGTGAACTTTTAGGTGATACATCTTTGAAAGTATCTTTAATAACTCAAATCATCCCTTCAAAGCATCTGACTGACAGAATGGAATGAATGAAGACTTTATGTGACTTAACACTTTATGTGACTTAACAAAATGTTTTCTTGGTGATCTAAAAAATACCCTTGGCTTCTTTTATGATTAATATTTATAAATAGTTTAGAAAGGCACTGAAGAAGCATGAAAGAGATGGCATTTTCGTATGTCTCTGGAGATGTACTTTATCCAAATATGGCATTATCTGAAAATGAAAAATAAAAAGTATTTGTACATAACTTACATTTTATAGTTTTCAAAATAACCCTGAGGGCAGAGAGGATGAGTACTGTTTCACAGATACAGAAAATAAGGCTTGGAAACACCAAAAGACTAACAGCGTGAGGCTAGTCAATGGCAGAAACAGAACATGAACCCAAGTGCAATGGACCAAATGTTTCCATCACCCCCCAAAATTCCAATGGTGAAACCTTGATCCTAGTGTGATGGTATTAGAAGGTGGGGCCTTTGGGATGTGACTACGCCAAGAGGGTAGAGCCCTCAAAATGAGTGCCTTTATAAGAAGAGGCCAAGAACTAGCTCGCTCTTTCAGCAAGCAAACTGTCGTCTAGAAGCCAGCAACACGGCGGGCACCAAGCACCTGACCTGACACCCTGATCGCAGACTCCCATCCTCCAGACCTGTGAGAAGGAAGTTTGTCAGGGTCTTTTTGTTTTTAATTTTTTTCTATTGCTTAGTTTTTTGTTCCTGGTTTTATTATTATTTTTTTTACATGCTTAGAGAGAGGAAGGGAGAGAGAAAGAGAGAAACATCAATGTGAGAAACATCAGGATCCATTATCCTCTTAAAAATTCAATGTTGACCACACGAGACATCAATACTGAGAAAAAAATTTTAAAACTCAGGAATACAAGTCTAGATTCCATGAATGGTCAGGGTAATGATGTCAGTGCACATCTTATTGCTTCTGGAAAACTCCATCTTACTCCCATGAGCATGAGAGTGAAAAAGACAACAATATCTCAGTATTGTTATTATCACTGAATGGAGACGGGGCCTGAGTCTGCCTCCGGCCAGGTGGAAGCATGTGGATTTTTTACTTCGTGCAGGAAAGATTTTACAACACGAGTCCAGGTGATTTTAAGAGTGTATTTATTAAATCTTGGGACAGTGAGAGTTTAGGGGAAAGAACATAAAAAGTTCACCCCTGAGATAAGGCTTGGGCATGCTCCGGAGAGAGCCCCGAGCTGGCATCCTTTGTCTTGGGGGCCTGACCTCTCTTTTTCGGGTGGGAAACCCAGGGGAGGTCTTGGGGGAGGGTTTTGGCAGAATATGCACCACTTTTCCGGGTGTGTTCTTTAATATGTCGATGTACCAAAATGAGCACATAGAGGGACCAGAGTCATTTTTGTGGTCAGCTTTGCCTCTGTCTTGGATTTGTTTGACTCTAATTGTTTTTTTGTTGCTGTTATTTAGTCCCCTGACTTCATGCCTCCTTGGGTTTGGCTGGCGCTAACGGCACTAGTTGGGTCTATTATCTAGCTCCCTGACTAGGGTGGTTTAAGCCACATACTCTGGTTAAGGAGAGGTGTAAAACTATTTGCTTGCAAGTATCCTTGGTCAGGGAAGATAAGATCTTGCAACTTACTAGCTGGCTGTAAATTGCTCAACTTATTTGGTCCTATTTGTCTAACCATTTGCCTCAGTTTCCCTTTTCCCACTTGTCAAAAAAATTCTCCTAACATCTAACTATCCTGCCTGATTATGAAAATAGCTTTGACCTCATGGACCCCTGAAAAAGGCTTGAATACCCAGGGATGCCCAGACCACCCTTTGAGAACTACTAATTTAGACTAATTGAAGAAAGAACATGGATCCACATACCAATTCCCATAACATTTAAATTAGGTCTACACTTATTCTGTATCCTGTCATCATAAAGTTGAGTTTCTGTGTAAATCTGTTCACTTAAAAGGAATGGAGAGCTTTTCTGCAATATTTAAAGGTTTATTTTATAATGTTCCAGAATTGTTGGCATATAACCTTGATATCACTAATGTTGGTTGTGGAAATTATATTTGTTAGACTCTGTTTTGTAGAAAGCCATGAGTATTCGTGTAAGGTGTTAAACTATGTCACAGGAGGTGGATTTTACCTTTCACTATTAAAGTTGTGAGAATTAATCTACCACCTGTGATTTCACTCTTCTGGCTCTAGGTACTTCAACCAGAGTAAAAGATAATACTCAGAATTAGGAACACTAAAGGCATTCCCTCTTGTAAAAGAGTTACATTTCAATGTAAAATAAACACATGCCTGTCACAGATGAACTTTAAAACAATGGAGAATCTCACTTTTTCAGGCCATACTGTTTAATCCTGTCAACACCACTTACCAGGAGCATGGGGCAAATGTAAAGCCACAGCCCCCTCCTCAAAGAAGCGAAATCTCCAATATGGCCATTCTTTTCTTTCTGATCCAACTCAATCATTTGTTGGTTGTATTTAACACAATTATTATACTCTCCCTTTTTTTTTTTTTTTACAAATAAATGAGAAAAACATCATCAGTTGCTTGCCTTGAATTAGAAACAAGTATTCACAGTCGAGGTAGCTACCTGTTCCTCTCCTTCCTACTTCGCCACCACACCCCCCACACCTCACCCCCTTCCACATTTTATTATTGTTTCTGGGGGCCTTTTGTATAAAAATATTTGTCATCAAAATCATTTCCATTGTAAAATTTCCATTGCAAAATCATTTCCACATAAAATTTTTGCAAAGGCAACGTAAATTGGTGAGATAGGAGGCCTCCTGAGTTTCTGTGGTCTGTTCTAATTACCTGTAACAACTTTTCTCAAAATATGGTTCTCAGGCCATCAACATCAGAATTACCTTAGCCTGCTGAGAATGCAGGCTCCAGGGCCCAAACGAGAGCCTACTGAATGAATGAGGCAGCCCGGATGTGGAGCCTGGGATTCTATGAGCACAAGAAAATGGGAATCTCAGGCCTATAGTAGACCTTCCATCAACCAGCCTAGTTTGTTTACTGAGGCTTTTAACTTCAGACCGATTGCCTTTAAGCTCTCCTAGAGCAATACTTATGAATGCCTTTCAACTCCAGATATTCTCCGTAAATTTACAGACAAATCCTTCCTGTCTATTGGGTGGAAAGCCTACCCATAACATCTTACTTTTAGGTGGAAAGTGCTTTTTCTCCATGTGAGCAAGGAGACTCAGTTTGACCCAGGAGCTCCTGCCACTGTCAGGAACAGGCTCTTCGGTTTGGTTATCAATATGGGACTTACAGGCACCACTGAAGTGCCTCTTCTGAACTCTCAGTAAGCTGACTTGATTGCTTCTTTCCACCAAGCAGTTGGACTCACGCTTTTCGTTTATCTCCTTCAGGAAACGTTTGTTGGCTTTAAGTTTTATAACTATTTCATTGGTTCTGTTTATAGATGCCATTATGCTGACAAAAGAATCATCGGGTGCTTCTTGGTATTCTGCAAACAAATAAAAAAAATACCACCAGTTGCCTGCTTGATTCAGAAGCCAATATTGTCCAGTTCTTCTCTCTCCTCCTGCAAAATATCACCACTGCTGCAGCCCCCACCCCACACCTCACTCCATGTTTTATTACTGTTTTCTAAGGTCTTTTTGTTTGTTAATGTTTCTCTCAGGGGAAAAGAAGGATATAGTAAGAGGATATATTTTGTTTTTTTAAATACTTGGCATTGATTCTTGCTTTTAGGAAGTTCTGTTGTTCTTCTGATTATAAAAAATAATATATATTTATTGTAGAACATTAAGAAAATACAGAAAAGCATAAGGTAGAAAAGCTAAAATCATTCTTGATCTGGAGACAACCAAATTCACATTTTAGTAATTTTCACAATAAATATCCAAAGGGAATTTTATTATAACAAGTAAAGAAAGACATTAAATTGGCTATAGTAGAATATAAATTTTAAAATGCATAAAGGTTGTTAAGTATTGGGGAAGGCTTTACTTGTTAGGACTGTAAATTTGTCTTATCAGGCATTTGAAGTGTTTACAAATCAGATGTTAAAATTTACAAAGGACATGTAAAATATTTAAAGCCCTTGTATTAACTGAGTTTTTAAATGAACTGATTATTTAGAGGTGTTCAGTCTTTTTAACTTGGGTTTGTTTCAGAAAAAATAAGGGGGATCATTTTTTATAAAAAAGGAACTCAATTTATAAATAGAATACAAGAATCATGTTGAAATCAAAGGTTGGCAGAAAGGTTTTTAACGTTTTAATTTTAGAAAATTAGTAGTAGTAACCTCACATTAACATTTTATGTAGATGAACAGAACTTCCATTTAAATGACTATGGTGGGCTAGATCAGCGATTTTCAACCAGTGTGCTACAAGAATTATTAAAACATGCAATGCCTGACTACTTAGTCAGGAGCACTGACCTCTTTTCCCTTATATTGTCAAATAAAAAAATGATTACAGCTACCATAGCAATAGCTGTCCGGTGTGAATGAATCAAAATTGTAGCTAACTGTTTTGTGGAAGGCACAGTGAGAAGGCCAAGCCTATGTGGAATGGGACATCCAGAGGACACGGATGAGTCCGAGACAAGATCTACAAAATATTTGAGGAATATCCAGAACTGATGAATGATACCAGTCCAGAGACTCAAGAAGCTCAAATCAACAACAGTCAGGAGTTTTTAAAAAATCCACACTTAGATTACAGTGAAATTTGGAAAAAACCCCACAAGACCACAAAAGAAAATTTTAAAATCAATCAGAGAATAAAAGGAGGGACAGTTGGACTAGCATCTGGCTTCTCAACAAGCAACAACAGAATCCATAAGACAGAAAAATTATATTTTCAATGTGCTAAAGAAGTTATATGGGTGGTAAGTCAGCACATAAAAAGATGCTCAGCATCTTCAATCATTAGGAAAGTGTAAATTAATGCTACAATGAGATAACACTACCTACCACTAGAATGGCTAAAATTAGAAGTTTTGATCAAATCAAGTATTTGTGAAGATTTAGAAGAACTGAAACTCTTATCCACTGGTGCTCAGAATGTAAAGTGTGCAACCACTTTAGAAAATGATGTGGCAGCTTCTCAAAAAGTTAAACCTATAGCTACCATCTCTGCTCCACTCCTAGGTATTTATCCAACAAAAGTGAAATTCTCCATAAAAGAGCATGAATAAGTCATTTGTACATACAAAAATTTGTACATGAATGTTCACCACAGCTCTATTTATACGAGCCACAAAAAGTTCTACCAGCCCAAGTGTCCATCAACAGCTGATTGGATAAAAAATTGTGGTACATCTACACAATGGATACTACTCAGTTATAAAAAAGGAATATACTACTGATACAATAACATGGATGAATCTCAAAATAATTATGCTGAGTGAAAAAAGCCATAACAAAAAGAATATATACAGTACTATCCTATCTACATAAAATTCTAGGAAATGTGAACTACTCTACAGTGACAGAAGGAGGATCAGTGGCTGCCTGGGGATAGGGAGAGATTGTGGACAAAGGCCGCAGGCAGGGATTATAAAGGGACCTGAGTAAACTTTTGGAGGGTGATTAATATGTTCATTATCTTGATTGTGGTAATGGTTTCATGGGTGTATGCATATGTCGAAGCTTATCAAATCCTATACTTTAAACATATGCAGTTTATTGTACTGTATGTCAATTAAATCTCAATAAAACTGTCAAATAAAATTGGGATCAGCACCTAGCACACTGCCTACTGCATATCAGCTTGCTGACTATATGAAAAGCATATTACTTAATGAGTCTTGATTTCTTTTTTACCCAATATTAATTATATCATGAGAATTTTTCATGTCATTAGTAATAAAAAAAATGTGATATTTGATGACAGTGTAGTAATCAATCATATGGACTTACAATAATTTATTTGGTTAGTTCCTATTATTGTTAAACCTTTACTTTTAATCCCCACCCAATGATATGGTTTTTTTTCATTGATTCTAGAGAGAGGGGAAGGGAGAGGAAGAGGGAGAGAGAAACATTAATGTGAGAGAATAGGTGTATTTTCAAAGTTCTCTGGTCCCTCTACAAAAAGGAAATGCTTTAAGGGAAAATGGAGTTTGAACTTTTTTCCCTTCCCCCTTTCCAGACCTACAAGGAAGACTAGGATTTTCTGAAAGATAGTAAAGAGTTGCCTTAGGCAGTTATTGCAAAACTCAGCAGCATACTATAATGAACATTTTTTCTCGCACTCAGTGATGGACTGACTGATGTAGGCTGGACTCACCAGAGAACCCAGCTTCAGGCTTCAGAATCTGGCTGGGCTGGGCTTCTGGCTGAGGGTTGAACTTAAGTCTGCTCCCAAAATTTTAGGAGTAGGAGAAACAAGAAAAGCTATTTTTCTCTCATCCAGTGTTTTAGACAAGATCTAACTCTCTTGTACTCACTTTGTTTCTGGGAATTTTAACAGTGTAATAGAAAGGTGTTTTTTGTGTTTTTTTCCCCAAGGTAAAGGATATGAGAAGGAAACAATTATTTTATTTTATTTTTTTACTGAATTGCAGTTTAATTTTGCCATTGTTGGCATGTACAGCTTTTTCATTTTATATTTGTGCTTCCAGTCTCCCTTGGAAAATCCCTGGGCTTAGGCATATCTTTTACAATAACTTTTGGAGTTTGAACTCAATATAATTTAGGAGCCCAATAAAAAGCAATTGACCTTCTTAAAGATATAAACCCAGCCCTGGCCCGTGTGGCTCAGTGGGTTGGGTATCGTCCTGTGCACCAAAGGGTTGCCCGTTGGATTCTGGGTCAGTTCACATGCCAGGGTTGCAGGCTCATTCCCCCGTGGGGGGGCGTGCAGGAGGCAGCTGATGGATGTTTCTCTCTCCCTCTTCCTTCCTCTCTCTCGAGAAACCAATTTTAAAAAATCTTTTTAAAAAAAGATATAAATCCAGTAATGTTTGCTCACAATATAAAAGATAATGTACAACCCACCAGAATATGAGCCTTTGGTATTCAGGTGATTTAAGTCAATAGTAGGCAAGATGTCAATTACAGAAGTAAAAAGAGAAAAGAGAAGATACCTTTTCTACATCAGATCTTGCAAGATTAAATTGAAGGAAGACAAAATATTTTATACTCAATTAACACTAAAGAGTTAAATTGGCCTCAATAAAGCTAACTCTATTCCAATCACCAATTAATTATCCAGTGTAGTGGAAACAAGAAAATATAGATGAATAAGTCTACAAATAGTACCTCATTTTTGTCATTAATTTCAACTTTTACTAGAGATACTAATTTGTCAGAAAATAAACTTTTAAAATCCTATCTCCTTTAATGCTTTTGCTATTTGTCCTCTTGGGGGGAGGGGCGCGCGAGTGTGTGTGTGTGTGTGTGTGTGTGTACAAATGAAAAACTAATGGGGACATGACTAAAGGAAAGAGGGAAAAAACAAGGTAATTGTCTCTTACATACTTTTGAGCTAATTTATATTTTGTTAAAAGCCCATTAAATAGGTTTATTGCAAATGAAATGTAGATGTCTTAGTTAAAAGTTCACTAAGATCACAAAATTCAAACTCATTACAAACCACCTGAATGCTGGAGCCAACTAAAATTAGACAGAGCAAGAATCTAATGGTAAGAGAATGGATTTTGGAGTAAAAAAGATTTGGTTCCTGTTCAAGCCATGCTAAGGCTAAGTTACCTTCACTAGGCCTCGGTTTCCCTCTAAGTTAAGTGGCAATAATACCTGACTCACGGAGTGTCATAAAGATTAAGCAAGCTTATTGCTGCCAACCCTCAATGAATGGGAACTTTAATATGTTAATTAGGGACTGTGAAAAAAAAAAAGGGCTTGTTCGGTTGGATACATAAATAGTAGTTTTGTCCTCTTGGTTATTAATCTGTTTTCTTGCTGTGTGGCCTGGACCAGCTGCATAATTTGTGGGGCCCAGTGCAAGGCCTCTTGTTCAAAGATCATTGAGAATTTCAAGATGGTTACAGCAGAGCATTGAACCAGTGTGGGGCCCTGCTGAGCACAGGGGCCCTATGCAGTGCAGAGGTCGCATGCCTATGAAACGGGCTCTGTGTGTCACCTAGGGACAGATCAATTTCTATATTTAATTCAGCCAGGTTTACAGTCTCTTAAATGGAGATAGGTAATATGCATAACCTATGGCTTTTAAAAGGACTTTGAAGGTATTGAGTGTGTATATACAACATACCCCCATTATTCATGGACTTCATATCTGCAAATTCACCTACTCACTAAAATTTAGTTGTTGTCCCAAAATCAATACTTGTGGCACTTTCGCAGTT